GGTGGATAAGGTGGGGGGGGGGGGGGGGGGGGGGACTGGACATTATTTCAACTTTAACACATTGGGGATCCGACTGGATAAGCGTCACTGATGTGGATGATTTCAAAACACGGTGGATTACTTTGGCAGCAATGTTGCTTAAGAGTTTCACATGGACTTCAGAATGACTCCTTTTGGACGTTTAGGATAAAAGAGGACACCTGGAAATCCGTCTCGAAGTAAACCGGGGAAAGCAGTGCTGGAAACAGCTAGAAAAAGCACACAAGTCAAGCGTCCGCAGGCTTGCTAATGGCTGCCGGTGCGGTTTGACGGACAGACTCAGCTGTGAGACGCATGGGGTGGGAGGTGCGCTGTGGGAGGAGGTGTCAGAGAGAATTAGAGAGAGGACAGAAGCGTATCATCACAGTCATGATCTCTAGGAGGAATCGCTGGAAGCCAATGGATATTACGGGTTTTGAATGCCGCCATGGAGAAACATGATCTACAGTTTATAAATTCAATCTTTAGCAGACTTGATTACCATCTGTTAAATCAATTTCACACGAAAGGTCTTTCTTTGTCTTGTTTCGTTAGCTAAAACAGTTTAGGTGGCTAAAAACATTAGGTATTTTCATCAATTGGAATGGATGCAAATCTGAAACGAACAGTTATATGAACACTATGATATGAGTCACATATTCTTTTACATGTGCATTACAAACCCTTCAGCGCATGCTAGTTCCCAGTCGCTGTGGATAATGTCACTGGAGCTACCGCATGTGTAATTACCCTTGATGACATAAACATCAAGAGAGCTTTTTTTTAGCAGATATTTAGCCAATATTCAGTCTCATCCACAGAGTTCACACGTGAGATGGAAATAAACACACACACAATGTTATGATGTAAATGGATGTAGACATTAAGTTGTATGAGGCTTCTACATTAAAACAAGCCAAGACAACTGTAACTGACAATAAACACGTTTCATGAGAATTTGAACTTGTTACCTCCGAGGAAACGCTTTACACCATGTCCAAAGTTATATATATATAACTATACAATATAACATTTCTGTAATCTATATAACCTACCAGTCAACAGTTTTTGAACAGTAAGATTTTTAATGTTTTATAAAGAAGTCTCTTCTGCTCACCAAGCCTGCATTTATTTGATCCAAAGTACAGCAAAAGCAGTAATGTTGTGAAATATTTTTACCATTTAAAATAACTGCTTTCTATTTGAATATATTTTAAAATGATTGCTGTGATCAAAGCTGAATTTTCAGCATCATTACTCCAGTCTTCAGTGTCACATCCTTCAGAAATCATTCTAATATGCTGATTTGCTGCTCGAGAAACCTTTTTTAATTATTATTATTATCATCAATATTTTAAACAGTTGAGTAAATTTTTTCAGGATTCTTTGATGAATAGAAAGATCCAAAGATCAGTATTTATGTGAAATAAAAAGCTTTTGTCACATTATACACTATACCATTCAAAAGCTTAGTCAGTATAATTTGTATTTTTTTGGAAAAGAAATTATAGAAATGAACAGTTTTATTTAGCAAGGATGCTTTAAATTGATCAAAAGTGATGATAAAGACATTTATACTGTTACAAAAGATTTCTATTTCAGATAAATGCGGTTCTTCTGAACTTTCTATTCATCAAAGAAACCTGAAAAAATTCTACTCAGCTGTTTTCAACATAATAATAATAAATGTTTTTTGAGAATCAAATCAGAATATCAGAACGATTCCTGAAGGATCGTGTGACTGGAGTAATGATGCTAAAAATTTTGCTTTGAACTTTTGTCCATATTAGGAATTTCCTCCGGCTTTGAGTATGAATGAAACATACACTGCACAGAGTGTTTAGCGCTCCTTGATGTTCATCTCACCTTATTCTGGGTCCGAATAAAACATCAGATCATGCAGACTTATCCTGTCTCTTTGAATTTAAATCTATATTTATTCACACCGGCTCTTGAAAACCGCTATGCGAACACACTTGCCCGAAAAAGTGCGGGGAACGAATTTACATGATAGTAAAAGTGTGTGTGTGGGGGGGCGGACACGTCCCCTGCGTAATCTACGCCCCTGGTGCAAGGTATTTTCGAATCTGATTCAAGCTTCAAGCATTTACATGGTTCATTTTTTCCTATTGATTGGACTATTTCAGGTCTACACCACCCCTTTTAATCTGATGTTTATATATGAAGGCTTTTTAGTCCATCAATCTGATAATAATCCGATTATTTTGATGCATGTAAACATAGCTATTGTGTTATGGCACTAGTTTTCATTTTTTGAACTAATAATCCCTGTATTATTGCAAAAAATAAAAAATAAAATAAATAAATTTGACATACATTAGCCTCCAAGATACATTTGACATTTAAAGTCTACATTAAAAAAAAACTGCAGTCAAAAACTATTTTAATTCCGCAATTAAAAAAATATTTGAAATAGACTTGATTTGATCTGTCGCAGTGGTTCTCAATATTTTTCTCCAAGGCACACATTGTTCACAACATTTGAAGGCCTCGTAATTTTTCATGGGTTTTTACGCTTGGTTTGTGATTTTAGTGGATTATAAAATACAGTAAACATTTTTTTCATCACTTTTTTTAATTTGCTGACCTTTTCAGGTTTAGAAATCACACGTTTAAAATCAGGCTACCTCATACATTCAAGTTTATCCTGTTTTTTTTTCTTTCTTACATTAATGCTTGTCTTGTCTTAATTCATTGGGTCCTGGCTCACTGGTCGAGAACCACTGATTTATCGGGAATTGACTGGATCCTAAAAAAGCAGGAGACCAGATAAATGAAGTGACCAGATCAAGTTTTTTACATTTTGATGAAAGATAATGATGCCATTTTAATTTGAATCACTGACGAAAGATTACAAATGCATGAAGAAAATGAAACAAAAAGGGTCAGTTTTTAACTCAAGTTGACTTTAAAAATGCATTAATTGCATAAGAGCATTTACTTTAAAGAAACCTTTTAAGGAAAACTGACTGAACAGGTCTAGCAGCACAGATGCCACTTGGTTTGATTTTCTTATCTAATGACATTTAGACATTGTGACTAGAGTGTCCAAATGCTTCCAAGGCCAGTGCAGTTTCAATCAGTGCTGTTAAAATCACCATTTAGCCTTTTCACATCTAGGCACAAGGAGAGAGGTAAACAAGGACATATTATAATACGGCGAGGATAATAAACCTCAAGAACTCTTAGATTCATTTGAGCTTTGATTATTGCTGCAGGATAGAGAAGGATGTCCAACAGAGGACTGTTTACTCCAGAACACTAATGCACTGCTCAATCACACTGAGCTCCAGTGAGGAGACTTGGCCGCAGTCCCTCCAAATGGCTTTAACATGCCCTGAAAGTTGGCTAATGGCGGTTTAAGTTTATAAATCTCACACTAAAGAGTTAGTTTAAATCGAACGAGTGTCCTCGTTCTGATATAAACAGGATAAATCCTGAAATGAAGCAGCTTTAAAGCATGGAGACAGCAGACGTGGCAACACGAAAAAGGGGCTTTTATTTCTGAACTGTTTTTATAAGCAGTCCAACACACATGTTCCTAGCTGTTCTGAAAAATGAAAACAAAAGAAAATAATTGTAATAACAATTATCATTCATTGAATAATATTATCAATAATGATTATAATCATCATCATCATCATAACCTTAATGGTAATAACCCCAGACAGTAGTATTTGCGTTTGCGCTTGTTTGTGGCACATGAAAAAGAGAGTTTCGGTTGACTGTAAACCCAGATACTCCACAGCTCTGTGCCCTAGGTAAACCAACGCACAGAGGGACTAGCTCCCCGACCAGACAATAAATATGAAAGAGAGCAAAAGAGTTCTGTATTAAACGAACAAAAATAATAATCTGTAACTCGTAGGTACAATATCTAAACTTCTTATGTGCAAGATCTGAGCTGATTCTTCACCACAAATAGTTGAACTCACATCGAACCCGATCCCTTCCCGAGTAAATTTTTTGTCTACATCGTAAAGTCTTTTAAATAAACCTAAGCTCATTTGTTTTCATTTCTTATACACATATATACTTAGATTTTTGTTAGTTTGTTTTTCTTTTTTTTTCTTCCTATTTATCGTCCTCTTCCATTTTGAAACCTGCGTTCACCCACACACAAAATTCACCGCTACAGAACAGACACACAAGCATTTGAATGAAGCAAACACTGACGAAGTGACAGAAAAGCTACCGTTAAAATAAAAATTAAAAAAAACCCTGAATAAAACATGGATATTTAGGACTGGCGGAGGTGCCACCCTTTTATGAGAAACGGGCTAGCAGTTTCAAAACACGGTACCGGTCGTCGCCGGTCAGTAGCTTTGAGCCGTATCGTCAACTGACGTAGGATCGTTGCCCCACGGCCCACTTGTTCCACGTCACATGAATTTCATCACATTTTTGTACCCTTTCTCAAACTCACTGCTGCTCGCCCATTAAAACGTACCAATTTTTAGTCTCGGAAATAGCTGGCGATCATTGCGTGAGCTTTTCATTGGTTCAAGGACATTCTCCTACAGTCGTTTGGCACATTTTATTTCGTCAGCTTGTGAAGCGTGGTGGAAAAAGTGCAGTGATATATATTTCAAAACAAGCCATTTTGGTTTCAAAATAAAACTCTTGAAGGGCACTAAAACATCCTCAGGATGGCACCTCCCCGACACTTAGACTACAAAAACTGATCCGACTCCCAAAACCCTGCGATTTCTGCAGAGT